TAGAGAGAGGAACAGCAATCAGGAGCCAGGGATTTTATAACAATGGAGATCAAAAGGATGCATATTATCCAAAAAGGATGGTTTAGGAGTCATAAAGGATTTTGTACCGTGCACACTCTGGTTCAAATAGCGGATCCGACAGTAAACGATTGAGATTGAGACTCCACTTCAGGCACGACTGCCACTGGCTGTATAGATGAGCCGCTTCATCTTCCAAATAGATCTTTCCTCGGCCAGTTTGGAGTATTTTAAGTCTCAACAGCATGTCTAAACCCCCAAACCAAAAAAGAAATAGACATGTTTCAACACTTTTTTTTCTCCAAAATGTTATGCACTGGCTTAAAAAACTTTTTTTTATTTTTTTTTTAAACTGCAATGTTGTGCCATTTTGCCAATGACATTTAGTTAATCATTACATCATATCACCATTATTTGCGTGACAATGTTTGCAGGCTGTATCTGCCAACTGAGTTTATTGCATGCTATAAAAAAACATCTAACTAACAGAAATGAAGTATGATAATATCAATACCGCTGTCTGTTTTAGGTGTTCTGCTGAGCGTTCCATTGACCATTCCCAGTAGCAGTCCCCAAAGATGCACTTGGCACGGCTGAGGTTGTGTGTTTACAAGCCAGTAACGCGTCACAAACATTTGCAGCTGTAGAGCATGTGGGATCCCTTTCATCATCGCGGACGACACACCCAAAGTGTCAAGGAACACCTGAAGTCGCACCTCATGTGGTTCCTAGAATCATTAGAAAGACAAACACTGTAAAACAAAGTTTCATTTCACTTTAAAACACTCCTTGAGATGTCCTCATTACCTTATATAATGTTTCCAGTTGAAGTCCTTCCATCACCTTGGTCTGTATGGCTTCAACGTTCTGACTGCTTACTGTTAACTGTTCTCTGCTGTATTCCTCTACATAGCACTTGCTCGTGCCAGGGACTGCTTTATCGGCTAACGCTTGTTTATTTGCCGTCTGTTGTCCTCCCAACAACAGTAACCCGTAAATCACCTGGCGTATGGGACGAGAGATTTCACTGCTACTAGGGAGTTGAAAATTTTCAACCTGGGGCGTTAAGGAAACCCTTTGGTTTACCAGTACATCGAAAACGGAGGAGCTCATCCTCCCCTCAAGAAGAGGTCTCAATGTCCATTTAGGTAGAACTTGCAGAGGACCTGTCAAAACTGACCGTGGAATCACCTTCGACTTGAAGAACTGGGCAAGAGCGCCAGAGGTGAGTTTGTACTCATTGATTCCCATCAAAAGTTCTTCTTGGACCATGGCTTTTTCATTTTTGTTTGTAAATTTCAGCAAGGCACTTACAGCTTCTTCTGGCCCTGGAAACTGGGATAACCAGTTAAGCATCCCATCAATACGAGGATTTTCCATGCCGGTTACTGAGTACTTCTCCCAATTCGGGTACTTGATATTTCGCAACTTCACATAATCGTTGCCTAAGATGGAAGCGAAGACTGGGAGAAGGTCAGGATTTATTTTGAAAGATGCACAGAATTTTCCCAATGTGAAGTGTTTGGCTTGGATGATTTTTTTGTTTGTCCGTTTGTCCAGTTTCACTTTTTTCCAGTGGAAATGTGCGCTTGGCAGGACTCCCGCTCTGAGGTTGAATATATAGAAGTCACTGTCGTTTGACAAAACGGGACAATTCCACTCTTTAGCCAAGGCAGCAATTTCCCAATCGGCCTCTTCAAGACACTGAACCAGTGGTACCTTGAGCTTATGAAGGAGCTGTCTGAACACATTTTTAATGAGCGTAGGAAGGAGTCTTCCTTTATTCCCCATTGACAGGGCATAGGCCTCTTTTAATCTCTGCTGTTTTCGCTTCATCTCCGTGTCAAATTTTTTGTCTGTGTGGTCGGCCCCGCCATCAAGTACAACGTAAGGGCTAATGTCACAGGCTGCGAGGTTCTCAAAGAACTGGATGACCAGCTTCTCAAAAGCATCATAGTCTCCTCCATGCATCTGATCCAGATTGCATTCAAAGTACAACATATAATATAAGTTACATCCATCGATTATTAGTCGTTTGTCTCTAAAAGCCCAGCTCCTTAAATCATTTCTGTTGCTACTTTCAATGAATGTCTTCAATCCTTGGACTCCCATGTTGATAAATGGTCGTCACCAACTTTCAGCTTGTTTATTACTTGAGCTGGGAAAACAATAATTTTCTAATTATTGAGACACAATAAATGAATGTATAATTATAATTTACATATATATATATATATATATATATATATATATATATATATATATATATATATATATATATATTGGGGTGATTTCAAGTTCATTGGGACACCTTTTCCCAGTTATATCAATGGCAAAAAAAATAAAATAAAATAATATATATATATAAAAAAATTTGCAAGTTAACTTGAAATCACCCTTATTTAATATCAACGTGTATTAAAAATAAATAAATAGTCTACATAATTTTCATTAAAATGTTATTTCGTATTGTATTTTCTAATTATTGAGATACAATAAATTATTAAATTATATATAATTATATATATATTTGCCATTAAGATGGGGAAAAGTGTCCCAATGAACGTGAAATCAACCTTATTTATTATCAAGTAATGTATTAAAAATAAAAAAAATAGTCTACATTTCATTATGTAAATGTTATTTCGTATTGTATCTTTGTTCCTTAAACCGTCACGATAATGACATGCAAAATGTTTACAGGCTAGGCGCGTTTTTCCAAAATAAATAATCAACTTCATAATTCTTATCAAATGTCAAATATTGTTCTTGTATCAAATATCAATTCGACAGTAATAGAAATGAGTATTAGAAATAATCTTAAAGTAGTTACTAATTGAGAAGAACTTACCGAATGTTGAGGAATGAGAGTGTGTGAGGCGTCACTATGGCTTCATGTAGTCTATCCGAACAAAATGCAGATCTTATTATATAAAAAAGATGGGAAACCGAAACTTAACCGGATGACGTTTGGAATAGCAAATCGAAACTTGGCGGCAGCCGCATCATAATCACGAGGATGTCATGGATACTTAAAACATGTAAACAAACGCTTTATATAGCCTAGAAACACGCTAATAATTCTACCAAACAAATCAGATTAGTCAGTCTCTGTTGTGTGTCTATTCACAGTAATTGTTAATACCCATGGCCTATATGAAGTAATATAAAACATACCAGGCGCCGATATTTATAGACCATGCTATTTATTATTAAAAGGCTATCCCTGTCACTGTTGTTATTTTATGTGCTATACACAAATCATTTATTAAAATCTTAGTGAGTGTTTTTTCGTACCTACCTTAAAGTATACATTATGTTATATACATTATAATTATATTACATACGTTATACATCATATATATGCTCTGTATTATATTTAGGTGTGTGTGCATAATATGCATAATATTCTTTATAATCTGTCTGTCTGATGAATCATCACACTGTTTCTGTGCAAACGCATTGCATATTGCAGTTACACCCCTGATCTAGAGATCTGACAGGCAGTTTGTTTTGTTTTAGAGAAAAGTGAAGTGACAAATTGCCCAATGCATTTCTCTCTAAATGTTTTCTCCCCCCAACTTTGCAAGAACATGCAGGTTTCATCATTTTCTTACAAGACATACATCAATTTTGGCACATTTAGGATAAGTTGTTGTGGATAAGTTGTCCACAACACTGATGCTTTAAAGAACATATAAAGTCAACAGATTGTACGGCTGCAGTTCTCTGCTTTTCATTATCAATGTTGAAAACGAAAATGGCTGCCTCACGTAGCCTAATATCTTCTATTTGGCAGTTTAAGGCAGTTTATGCAAAGCAGTTAAAAGTGCATGAATTTTGAATGACAAATATGCTTTGCTATAAATGAAACACGACACTGATGCGATTCGGTTCAGTGAGAAGGTTGTGGTCTGATCAGGTAAGAATATCTATGTGAACTTAAGCTTACTGATAGATTTTAGGGGTGTAAAAGGCCTATAAAGAAAGACAAGGTCATGTGGAATGTGGAATTTTGGGGGGGTTGTACATTAATAAAACTAGTAAGAATTTTAGAAAATTACTGTGAAGTAGAAACAGCAACATGATGCTTTAGGCCTATTATTTTTGTGATAATATGATTGCACCCTGTAAAACTATTTGCCTATTTTATAATGGAGAATTTTTTGGAAATTTATTAGTTCATTCTCATTATAAAAAAGTGCTTCTTGATGAATCTTGAAAAAATGTTGTAGCCTACTATAACTAAAAGAAAATCTTACGACAATACTATTGCATTATTTACATTTCAATTTTTTATGTCTTTTTAAAATGATCAGTAACTCGTACATTATGAATCAAGTGTTGACTGTGTGAGTTAGTGTGTGTTTTTTTTGGTCTGTCGACTGTCTGTGCGTTTTGTACATGCCTGTATATTAATTACATAATTTAAAACAATGTAAATAAAGAGAGTAATTTTAACAAATCCTTAAGTTACAATTTAAAATAACATTATGTATTTAATTGTCATATTGATGGCAGATTTAAAGTTAATAGTTTAAGTTTAGTAAATGCAGAAAAAATAACCAAAATGTTGCCTTAATTTTTCCTTTTTCTAAGAACATATTATTTATTACAATGACGCAAAGAGTTATATGCTGATGTGGAAACCAGTGCACATGCAACTCTTCATCATCATTGATTGACGAAAATTGTAAATGCACTGAAAAAAAAAATATTTTCATGATTTGTAATCACAACTTTTTTTTCTTTTGTCAAATCAACTTAAATAATTTATGTAGTTCATACAACATAATGTTTTGAGTTTCTGATGATTAAATCAGTCCCCTTCATTCTATTAACTCAATTTTTCCATTTCAATGAGCTTAAAATGTTAAGGCAACCAGGTTACTTAATGTTTTTAAGTTAAACCAACAATATTTTTTACAGTGTGATATAGCAACGTCATAATACCGAGACATGGGTCGCATGCTCTTTTTCAGATCACTGACTAAAATCAGGACAAAGTCATGCTGACTATTCTTCTAATCACAGCTATGCTTGGCCAAGGTAAGCAGTCTGTCATGTTATCCTCTTGAAGCCTAATAAAATACATGTTTATTTGACATAATCCTGATATTAATAACTCTTGATTTGACAGGCCAGTCATGGGACAGCCTTGGGCTAGACTTCGTCACAGCATTTCCAGAGAACATCGCCTTTTACTATCCAGTTAATCCAGTGAATACTCTCAAAATCACCGCTGTCTATGCCGACACCACGGTGACAGTCTCCATCTCAGACAGTACCTGGTCATACGAGGACACACTGCCAGCAGGAAAGCCTGTAATTGTGACCCTGCCACAAGGTATTGAGAAATACAATTTCGTTCAAACTCTTCAGACCGTCAAAATCGAAGGCACGGACCCCATCGTGGTGCAGTCCGTCAGTCAGCGAGGAGATAGTGTACAAACCAATGTCGTTCAGCCTCTGAAAAACCTCGGTACGTTTTATTCCATGCCTAGACTGAATTACACGAACATGATTAATACTCTCTTTGGTTCGGAAAGAAATGTCAGCAAGAGATGCAGCTCCTTCAGGCTGGTCATTATCAATGGAGTAGATATGGGTAATTTAATCACAATTGTAAAAAAGCCTAAAAACATTATTTTCAGTCTCGATCCGTACGCCGTACTTCAGCTCCAAACCGACGGGACAGAATTCGCGGTTCACTCTGATTATAAAGTAGCTGTGATGCTGACCCATCCATGTGTAGAGTTCTCATTATGCAGATGCAACATGGTGGTGAACCAACTTTATCCCGACACTCAGTGGGATAGCAGATTCGCTGCACCCGGATTACTGAACGTTCGGCTACATCTGACGTCCTCAACGGATATCGTTGCCAGTGGCGGGAATATACAATCGGGTACTTTTGAAGCCCATTCCTCAAAACTCCTGTCTCTCCCATCTCCCATAGGATCTCAGTTCATCAACACTTCCGATCCTGCTTCCCTCAGGCTTGTCGGCCTAGGCTTCATCATTGAACTGATCCCGCTATCCAGGTTCTCTGCGTGCTACCTAGTGCCTGTCAACTCGACAGGTGCCATGGTCATCGTGATAGCAGAAACGGAATACAGGGATAGTGTGTATATAGATGATGGTTTGCTTTCATCCACTACATGGAGCACTATCCGCAATTCAGAGTACTCGTCTGTATTAGTGCCTCTTGATGCCACGCATGTCATTTGGCATCCGTCCACAAAGATTGCCGTGTATGTGTTTGAGGACACCACAAATATATATGGAGGCCCAGCTATATCTTTAAGCGCAAACCCTGGTAAGAAACCTATTTATTGATGATTTATTGGTGGGCACGCTCATGAATGTTATTTTTGTATTGAGTATTGTATTCTTCAACATCAACACAAAGTATGAAATAGTTCATCCAAAAAATGAAAATTGTCCCTTGTGTCGAAAGTCTGCATATGTTGTTTTTTGACCCCATTGACTTTCATTGTAAGGGCAAAAACAGTTCTTCAATATATATTTCATATAGGTTTGGATTGAAATGAAGGCAAGTAAATAATGACAACATTTTTATTTTTGGATGAACTGTCCCTTTAAGTGTGTTGAAATGGGGCTAGTTGTCACACTACTATACTATGTCTAACATTAGGCTTATTTATATTTATTTAATAAGTCAGTTTCTATATAGACAAACACCTTGTTATTGCTCTGGAAAAAAATACAGTTAGTTTAACACATGTTAACTCAACAACTCCCATTATTAATACATTTTTCAGCAAAATTTTAAACAATTCGTGAAACAACAAATATGTATACGGTAACATGCATGTAAAAGTGTGTAAATAATAAAATATAAAGCAATGTCTAAAATACTATTTATTAACTGTTTACACACTTTTGTCCTAACTAAGAGCTAAGTTAAATCTTTTGGTTCAAATCTGCCACACTTTCCTGAATGTATGTGGTTTTATTCTGTATGAAATACGATGATATTTGAATCTGGAGAGGCAAAATCACAGAAATTATACAGTTTAAAAAAAGCCCTTTGTGAAATTGGATTTTTGTCTTTTAGTTACTGAGTGACAACTAAGCCTGTACGTACATACAAACATGAGTGTTGTGTTTGTTTGCGTTCAGACCCCGCTGGCTGTCTAGTGGTCCCTTCTAAGCTCAACATCGTCTCAACACCTCAAACCTGGCCTGAATCCCATCAATACTGTATGCTCAAAAGGGGCGAGCTTTTCAGTCCGGGCAATGAAACGGAGCAAATGGAGATGGCCGACTTTTTGAATAGTGAAGGTTTGAATGAGAGGCTCTGGATCGGACTGCGCCGTAGTCTGCTGACTTTAGAGTGGTATCGGCAGAAGGGTAAGGAAGTCCACAATATGGCACACACGTGGTGGGGAACCGGGGAGCCACGTGTTGCTGCGGACGGCATGTGCGCTTCGCTATTCCCAAATCCACTCATGGGTTTCCATTGGAAAAGTATGCCCTGCTGTGCTCAGTTGAAGTCTATCTGCTTCACAAATGCTCATTACTTTACTCTGGATTTACCCTCAAATAATAAAGCCAATAATTCTAATATTAATGGTAAAGAAAATGGAAATCCATTGTAAAAACTGGCCAGCACAAAAACAAAATACAAAATATTTAAGGAACAAATCAGTGACATCTCAAGATAACATTTTTGTTTCTTTATATTTTACAATTCATGGCATTAAATGACATATTGGTAATATACAAACCTACTTAAACTTCCAAAATAGTTTTGTTATGCTAGTAACTAAAAAAAAAAAGAAGATTATAGATGCTAGATCTAATATTGGTAGACATTAAGTTATTTTGTCACAAATACCTCAAGGAAGTTCCCACTGCATTTTTGACCGTGAATATATGTAGATATGATGTACAATGTTCACACTTTATCTATAGGAACATGAATTATATGTTTATATGTATACTGTATAACAGATTTCAAGGTAGAAAGTTGACATGAAACATTAGTTATGATAGTGTTCCCAATTTTAAGTGAAAGTGCTTCTCCAAAAAGAAAAAAGTAAGGCGGGGCTTGATTTTGTCCATGGGGAATTGATTGGATGGTTGTGGTTTGCTATTGCCGTGATCTCATTTGAGTGACAGGTTGCCCTGCCCTGTAAACTGATTTCATTGTGACTTTAAAATCCATCTCCACATAACATCATCATGTTTGTATGTCATATTTGTATACATGTCTAGGAAGTTGTAATATTCCAATAAACAAGCATCCAGACCTCAAACCTAATGCATGCATCATTTAGCCTTTAATGGCATTGAGAAACTGACTGATGATAAAAAATATACAGCGTGTGTTATAATATGACAAATAGCTCTGTCAACAGCTCATTATGCAAACTAATGTTGCGAGACTAAATGTGTTTTGAATGTAAAATGTGCCTGTGTGTTGCTGGATAAACACACACATGAAGATGAGTTTGTTCAGAGAGTGGAAGAACTGTGGCCTTGAAGCATCAGGTAAGTCTTGTTGATACTGTATGACAACAGAATGTTAGATATTAACACAGAACTACATAGGCATGCTTATGAACTTTCTGTTTTGCAATCATAAATTTGAGAACTGTTTGAATCAAGAAGTTTTTATGGGTTATGTTTATAACTTTAATCCAAAAAATTAAATGATAAAATCAATAAGTTATGACAACATATGTTTTTACATTGCTTTAACACGTCAAAACATATTAAGCAATTTTCAAACGTTTCAAAAGTTAATGTAATATTAGCTGAAATGAACTTTTTTTTACAGTGTGCACTTTTTTATAGCGCTCAAAGTTTTTCATCAATGTCAGTTTTACTTAATAGAAATTCTCTATAAGTCAAATATGTTTTTAAAATAAGTAACTGGTTCAACCTGTTTTTTAATGTCAGTCAGTTCATGTAGACATATTTCCTTAAAGTAAGCTTCTACATCTTTCAATTTGAATTTAGTTTTGTTATTTCCCATTTTGTGTGATTAACTCTCATCATTATTTTTCCTCTTGATTGCAGATTTGGCCGATATAACACCAGTAGCTGCTCAGAGTAACAGTGATGCTGTTTCATCTTCTCTTCATCATGTCACTGGTTGGCCAGGGTAAATCGCCTCTCTCATATTCACACACACAATGTAAAAAAACATACATACAACATTTTTTCTTAAATAATCTTAACTTAAATAATTTATGTAGTTCAGATAACATAATATTTTGAGTTTCTGATGATTAACTCAATCTCCTTCATTGTATTAACTCAATTCAATGAACTTCAAATTTTAAGGCAATCAGGTTACTTATTTTTTTAAGTTAAACCAACAATATTTTTTATAGTGTATCATCAAAAAAACAAAAAAAAAAAAAAAAAAAACGTTGTAAGGGGTTAAAATTGCAATAAATCATTTCACAATACAGTCAAAGAACAGGACGTTTAGTCCGTTTTGACCAAGGTTACATTGAGTCAAATGTTTGTTAGAATGATAGATCATATTGCAAGTTCGTCTGATGGCTACATCCTAAATAAAAGGAAGTATGATTTATTTTGGTTTATTGTTAGATCTAGAATGGAAAGTTAGTCACCATCTGACATAAAAACGGGAAGTGTGATAAAAGTTTATCATAAGATGCTTCATCTGAAGTCGTTTTTTATGGTTGGTAACATCATTAATCTTATCTATTTAAAATCCATCACAATAGTTATTAATGAGTCGAATCTCTTTCAGCAATTATTGATTACTTAATAAGCAACTTTCTTAGTCCTAAATTTGATATTAATGATTAAGCTTGTTTCCATTTTAGTTAGTTATATTAGAACCATCAATGCCAGTACCTTTATATTTTAAGAGTGTGTAATTAGATGGCCATTAAGAAGATAGCCAGGTCTTCACCATGTTTATTTTGCTATTAAACCATCTGAAATATTGGTTTGAGTTGAAATTATTTTATTATGGAAGAGTGTAAAAGAGTGCAGAGTGATTGTAGGAAATCCAGAATTGAAGGAAGTCGTAATTGTGGGAATGTCATATCAGGGTATCTATACTCTGTATAAAACAATGAACTTTAAACTGACGATTTGACAGGGCTATCAGTGGAGAGCTTTGGAAAAGACTTCATCACGGCATTCCCGGAGAACGTTGCCAGCTACCATCCACAAGCGTCCTCCAACATGCTCCAAATCACCGCTTTCTACACCGACACCACCGTCTCGATCACCTTCAACCGCACAAACGTATATAATGAAAACCTCCAATCTGGGCAGACCAGAGTTGTCCATTTTCCCACGTATGTCGAGCAATATCAGTTCAAACGCTCCTTTTATTCTGTCAGAATCAATAGCAGTAAATTGATCGTGGTTCTTTGGATCAGTCAGCGAGGCGACAGCGTGCAGTCTTCTTTTGTTCAACCTGTAAAGAATCTGGGAAAGCAGTATTCAATCCCCTTCATCAATTACAATCAGATGCTGGCGTCCTTGTACAGCAGGGCTTTGGATAACTGGAGATGCATCATTATCAATGCTGGGAGCATCATGAACACCATCTCCATCCAAACAGTTAGCATGAACGCTCAACAAACCTTTAACTTTACGCTCCGCCCGCACGAACTTTACCAGTTCCAAACCAACGGGTCAGAGATTAAAGTGTACTCTAATAACACCGTGGCTGTGCTGTTGACCCATCCGTGCGCTGAAACTTCCTGGTGTGTTTGCAACATGGTGACGAACCACGTTCTCCCCGAAAATCTGTGGGGTCAGACTTTTGTCGTGCCGTCGGTGAAGAACCTGAATTCAACTTGGCTACAAGTGACATCCACGACGAATCTCACGCTCACAGCTCAGAATATAAAGATCGCAGCCTCAAATTCAGATCTAATTTCCTTCCCGTACCTCGAAAGTGGACCTCAGCTCATCACTGCATCAAACAATGTGTCCATCAGGCTTATCAGTCCAGGCTTCATCTTAGAGCTCATGCCGGAAAGCATGTTTGCTGCCTGTTTCCTGCTGCAGGTGAACTCAACGGGGGCTGAGGTCTTGATCATCGCTGAAACAGCCAGTAGAGGAGATGTGTATGTAGACGCCGGTTTGCTTTCATCCACTGACTGGAAAACTGTCGCCAATTCAAGATACTCTTCGGTATCAGTGTCGCTTAGAGGCACGCATGTCATCTGGCATCCAGCCTCCAGGATCGGGGTGTACATGTTCGAGAAAATGGAGAGTGGAATTCCTTACGGAGGCCCAGCTGTGATTTTAAACGAAGATCCAGGTAAGGTGATATCTTTCTTATCCTAGAGTTGACTTTGATTAAAGTCAACTTGAAATTTTCCAACGCATTCTCATCCTAGGGCGTCTTACAGTGACATTTCGTCTAAATCCAATGCATATGGCGCCCTTTAGAGTCAATATAACACGCACAGAGCTTTGCTTGGTTATGGGTAGGTTTAGGTCTTAGGGTTAGACCACTAGGAAGCGCCTTCTGGTCCATATATATCTGTGTCTCATATTGACGCTAAAGGGTGCCATGTGCGTAATGATGTAGACGAAATGTCAAAAGCGTCAGTATATGACGCCTTGGGATGAGTTTGGGCTGAATATTCTTTTTTACAACCTTTTTGACTTCTGAAATGTTATGTAATTCTGAAGAAAAAATTGTACGATGGAATTATTTCGAAACTGGATTCAGACCCAATATGTTTTATATTTCTTTATTTACTCACAATGCATAATACCGGGTATAATTATACTACTTCTATACACAACCGTTATATTTTGGGGTTGGTAAGATTTTTATTTTTGAAATGAAAGGATTTTCTTGCTTTTATTCAGCAAGGATGCATTAAATTGATCAAAAGTGGATTTTTTTCATTAAATTAATTCTTTTAAAATGTTATTTAACTAAGAATCCTGAAAACAAAATGTATCATGATTTCCACAAAAAGATTAAGCAGCACAACTGTTTTAACATTGATAGTAATAATAATAAGAAATGTTTCTTGAGCAGCAGATCAGTGTAGTCAAATTTCTGGATCATATGACACTAAAGACTGGAGTAATGATGCTGAAAATTCAGCTTTGCATGACAGGAGTAAATTAGATTTAAATATATATTCAAATAGAAGACATTAATTTTAAATATATCCTATATCAAAGGATATTTCACAATTTTATGTTGTTTTTTTTACTGCATTTAATCAAATGATCTTCCTGTAGCTCAAACAGTAGCGTGTTGGCGGTCATGGGTTCGATTCCCAGGGAAAGCAACTGATAAGAATGTAAATGTGTATCTTGAAATGCAATGTAAGTGGCTTTGGATAAAAGCGTGTGCCAAATGCATAAATGTAAATAAATGCACAACTGAAATTTTTAGACCTTGAAAATAAAAACCTGTCTTCTTCACATAGAAAATAGCTCAGATAATCGTCCAAAAAAAAAAGTGTTCCTATTGTTTCATGTATTGACCGATATATCATATACAGGCCTATACTTGAAGTTACATTAAAGCATGAATGAAATCAAAATTCCCAGTGGTTACTGAAAAAAGTCACTGTATGTTTGTATGCACATAGATCGTGATGGCTGTATGGCAGATCCTGCACTATATAAGACCACTACTGATGTCATGACGTGGCCCGAATCCCATGATTACTGCTTAAATGCAACTTTACAGCTGAGCAAAGCAAGCAGCGCAAGGGCCCAAAGGGACATGACCAACTTTCTGCAAAAAGATGTCGGCCCCAGGTACTTCTGGATCGGGCTGCGGCGCAGTCTGCTCACATTAGAGTGGTACTGGAAGAACGGCAATAATAGCGAATACAGCATGAACTATACAAAGTGGGCCGATGGGCATCAGGAGACCCCCTGGAAATCTTTGTGCGCTTCTGTGTCGCAGGATGCCAACAAGGATTTCTCCTGGAAGAGTGTGCCCTGTTGCTCTAAGATGAGGCCCGTCTGCTACAAAAAGGCCCTGTACTTCAGTGGTTTGACCTTTGATTCACTGCATAATCATTTTTATATCGTTAACCAAACTGTTTGTCTTTTAAATCAATGTCATTTATTTTAATTTGAATTCGGTGACTAAATCAAAATCTAATTTCTCAATTATATAAAACCTTTTGCTATGCGTAATGTAAAGCAATTTTAACACTATTTTTTTTCAACATTAAAATATGTGGATCTTTTAAAAACGCAATAAAATATGTTATTGTCCATGATAGTTAATGAAATATTTTATGGCGTACTGTTATCGCACAAACTGAATAGGCTGTCAAGCTGGACAACTGTAAAAACTGTTGCAATGTCAGATGTAATATAGAGTGATCTAAAGTGAAATTAGTTAAAGGAGTAGTTCACTTTTAAAGAAACTTTTGCTGAAATTTTACTCGCCCCCATGTCATCCAAGATGTCCAGTCGTTCAGTCGAAAAGAAATGAAGGTTTTTGATGAAAACATTCCAGGATTTTTCTCCATATAATGGACTTCAATAAGAAACCAAACGGTTCAAGGCCCAAACGAGAGTTTCAGTGTAAACTGCAAACTGTTCAAAGGGGGTTAAAACGATTCCAAACGATAAATAAGGGTCTTATCAAGCAAAACGATCACTCATTTAAAAAAAAAAAATAAGAAAGTTTAAGTTTTATAAGCTCAAATGCTTGCCTTGCTCTGTTCTGTGATGCGCGTTCGTGACTCTCCTGTTCAAACTCGTTTTTTTTTTAAATGAACGAATCCCGAGTCAACTTGTTAATTTCGTCTGTTGAATGAACCAAATGACATGAAAAAAGATTTGTTCATTTTGATAAACGAGTTCAAACAGGAGAGTCACGAATGCACATCACAAACTTTGATATTTTTTTAAATGAGAAATCGTTTCGCTTGATAAGACCCTTATTCATCATCGTTTAAAGCCCTTTGAACAGTTTGCACTGAAACTGTGTTTTGGACCTTGAACCGTTTGGTTCCCATTGAAGTCCATTATATGGAGAAAATCCTGGAATATTTTCATCAAAAACCTTAATTTCTTTTCAACTGAAGAAAGAAATGGACATCTTGGATGAACATGGGGGTGAGTAAATTATCAGCAAAAGTTTTTTTTTAAAGTGAACTACTCCTTTAAGCTGAATACAAGTATATGTCATCCGTTCACAATGCTCTTGAAAAGGGCCACTCCTTCAAGCCTGTTTGGCTTGATTCTCTGGTGCATTTTGGGTATGTTTATACTCTGTTGGCTGGCTCCTTTCAGCTCACCATCGCCTCCATGCTGCGATGTCATTTAGGCAAATCTAGGGTTCTTAAACACATAGACACTGAAAATAGGCATAATCAGGTAACAAGCAAAATCTTAAGCAAAGTCTTGCTCACTTTAATTGCTACAAGAACGTCTACATTTCGCCATAGTTTTAAACCAGCATAGACCATTCTATTTAATATTAAACGTATCTGTTACAAAATGTATGTTACTACATAAATAAATAGAAAATATAAAGTCTAGCGAGTGTTTTTGTGCCTCAACAGCGATTGGTTGATCTGACTTTTTTTGTGTGCGTGTGTGTATGCATTTATGTAACTAATTAACAAATTCAGTTGTTTTCAATAAATTATTTTTTAATTCATAATTTGTCTTCCTCTTTATGGTTTTGTACGGGACGTAATGTGTGTGTGTTTTTTTTAGATTTGTCATTTATCAGTGTAATCCGACTTTAAAATCTAAAATGTTTTTTTCTAATGTATATTTATCATAGATGGGAAATGTTAGCATCATGTGAGTCATTTGTGCCGTACTGTCTTGTTTTATCAGTAATGCCACATTTGGCTGTCTTCATGCAGTAAACAACCGCGGCGAAGCGATTGAGATAACAATTGAAAACATGTTTTTAAACGCTCTTGAGCAAATCTGGTGGATGTATGGTATGGCATTTTATGGATTTAGAAGCATGATTTTGCATTGTGAATGTCATTCTGTCAATTGAACCATGTAAGTCAATTGCGTAATAGCCAGGATCCTATGCAAATCTGAGAGAAAATCAAGCATTTTGAAAGTCAAATGTGTTTTAACTAAAATAAGGGCAAAGACGTGATTCTTAGAAAGGAGAACAGTCCTGACCAAGACATCTGGTAAGAGTTTTTGCTGTAATTGAAAGAAATCCATATTTACCTTGCATGAAATGCAGAGAAAATCTTAAGACGTAAAAAAAAGAAAACCTTTTTTTGTTGTTTCATTATCTTTTACGTGGATAATATTACATTGTTTTTTACTTTTTCGACAATCTATGGATCAATTTAATTGAGTTTGTTCTATTTAGTTGCTTTGTGACAGAATTATGTGTTGCATGTATTTAAAAACCTTATGCATTAATGTGTGCCAAAACAAATTTTACAACCAATTTTTGTTTTTTGTCTTAGTTTGTCTTTTCTTCCAGCAAGTTAAAGCCATGATCATGCTTGTTGTTCTGCTGATCGCATCAATGTTTCGCCAAGGTAAGGGAAGCTCTTTTACTATCTTCTATGTCTGTGGTTTGAATAAATGTAATATTAATTTACTGATGATTTTCTGATCTGGTTTCTCCCAGATTGGGCAGTTTCTGTTGTACTTTTCAATACCACCTGAAAATGTTTTATGAGCCTCTGTTTTTTTTAAAGTTATTTGGAAAGCAGTACAGCTCATGTACAATGAACATTTTTATTTAAGGTCTTACAGTAGTGAGCTATGGAGACAACTTCATCACTGCCTTTCCAGAGAACCTAGGTTTCTTCCATCCGGAGCATCCCTGGAACTATTTAAAAGTCACGGCCCTTTATGACGACACTACATTCACAGTCTTCTACCAAAACACACAGAAAGACTTAAAAATCCAGCAGTCAGGGCAGACCATGAACGTGCTGTTTCCAAAATCTGCTGAAGTATATCAGCTGGGCTCTTCGACCGCATCTGTCAGAGTTACCAGTGACAAAAAAATCACAGTGGTTTCTCTAAGTAAGCAGGCAACAAGCACCCAGACCAGTGTCGTCCAGCCCACGGTTAATCTCGGTACAGACTATCTGATCCCTCTGCTGGATTACCCAGGGTATCTTGAATCCTTCAACCTTTCTATGCTTGTCCGTACGACCATGAGATACAGCTCATTCAAGCTGCTCATTATCAATGCTGTGAACAGTCAAAACACCATCACTGTAGTCAGGCAAACATCAGCAGGTGCTCAAGAAGAGACTTTCGATATCGATCCTTACCAGCTGGTCCAGCTTCAGAACAACAATTCCGTGCTGAGGGTCAGATCTAGCAAAGAAGTAGCTGTGATATTGACCCACCCGTGTGTAGAGACTGGAGACTGTTACTGTAACATGATAATGAATCAGATTCTTCCCACGAAGTTTCAGGGACTGAGCTTTATCGTACCATCCATCTTCAAAGTGGCCGAGACCCAGTTACTTGTGCTGTCAGAAAGCCCATCTTCGCTCTTTCATAATGGTACCCAGTTAGAAGCTAATCCCTCAGGTCTTCTGCCGTTTTCAAACCTGGAGACATCTCAACTGGTAAATGCTTCGGAGAGAGCGTCCCTCAGACTTCTCAGTCCGGGCCTCATTGTGGAGTTGATCCCAGACACCATGTTTTTTGCTTGCTACCTGCTGCAGTTTTCTACACAAAATGGCAAGGCTGTGGTGATAGCTGAAACAGACAGCAAAGATGATGTGCGCACACATAATGGTTTGCTATCAGCATCTGAATGGACTGAAATTGCCGGCACAAAGTACTCTTCGACTGAAGTAACTATTCAAGACCAAAGGGCCACAATCTGGCATCCAACCTCAAAGATTGCTGTTTATATGTTGGAATATGTGCGTATGAAAGTACTTTTTGGAGGCCCAGCTATACCCATCACTGAAAAACCAGGTAAAAAAAAAAATATCTATCTATCAATCTATCAATCTTTCTTTTTTTAGTCGAAAAGAAATTAAGGTTTTTGATGAAAACATTCCAGGATTTTTCTCCATATAATGGACTTTACTGGTAACTAAATTATTCAAGGTCCAAAAGACTTTCAAAAGGTTCAAAGGGCTTTAAACGATTCCAGACGATGAATAAGGGTCTTCTCAAGCGAAATGATCGCTAATTTTTTTTTTCAAAATTTTTTTGAAAGTTTTCATTAAGTTTTATAAGCTCAAAAGGTCGCCTTGCTTTGTAGGCTACTGCGATGCTCGTTTATGACTCTCCTGTTCGAACTCGTTCATCAAAATGAACGAATCTTTTTTAGAGTCATTTGGTTTATTTATTCAACGAACGAATTGCCTCGGAAAAAGATTTGTTCATTTTGATGAACGAATGCGAACTGGATAGTAACGAACGTGCATCGCAGTACAGAGCAAGGCGACCTTTTGAGCTTATAAAACTTAAACTTTGTTATTTTTTGAAATGCGCGATCGTTTCGCTTGATAAGACACTTATTCATGTCTGGAATTTTTTTAAAGCCCTTTGAACAGTTTGGTATGGTAGTAGGGTAAGACCACTAGAGGGCGCCTTCTGGCCCATATGTCTGCGTCTCATATTGATCCTAAAGGGTGCCATGTGCGTTGGATGGCAAACGCGTCAGTATATGACGCCTTGGGATGAGAACAGGCCTATCTATCTATCTATCTATCTATCTATCTATCTATCTATCTATCTATCTATCTATCTATCTATCTATCTATCTATCTATCTATCTATCTATCTATCTATCTATCTATCTATCTAATCGTTTTTAGTTAAAATTACTGTTGTACTGTATGATGTTAATTCAAATTTGATTAGTAATTCTGGGTGGTCTTCTCTGTAAAATACTGATCCAAATTATTAGTATTTTGTTTAGGAGGATGTCTTAACACTTGAGTCATTATCTAAAACCTTACAAAAACTCAAATGCTTAATGATTTCAGTCATTACTATAGAGCTTTCATGTTTTTCATTTTAGAATACTGGTCCAAATAATTAGTCATTCCTTCTGAAGGATTTGATAATACTTGAGTCACCATGATCCTCACTTTAGAATGAATCATATACTCATATACAATCATAATCATATACATTTCGACTAATTTATTCATTAATGAGTTAATAGTTACTAAGTTAATATTGTGTTACTCATTTGTTCCTGTGTAGTTCTTCATTAATGACAGAACAGTATTGTAAAGTGCTACCCAATTCTGAACCCTGTTTGGTCCCTTAATTCAATTTCAGGAATTAAATTATTAGAATAATAATAATAATAAAAAAGAAACATTCTGAATGGCACACATCCCCGGCAAGGCATGTAATTGTGAAGGTAAAATGTTCATTTATTTATGCATTCAGATCTTCATGGCTGTGCGTTGGTTCCTGGAGCATTTGCAGTTGGACCTGACCCTCTGAGTTGGACCGAGTCATTTGAGTTCTGCAAGAATAATGGAAAACAGTTTGCCTGTCCTGTAAGCAAAGCCGTCCTGAAGGACATGGCCGATAACCTGACCACGGAGAACGGGACGGGCTGGATCGGTCTCCGCCGCAGTCTACTAACTACAGAGTGGTACTGGCAGGAGGAGTATGAACCCAATGTCGATTACGTCCACTGGGACGATGGGCAACCACTGGACCATTTGAAGGGCTTATGTGCTTCAATGTCTCTGGACCCTGAAAATGATTTCAAATGGCAGAGTGCACGCTGCTGTGATAAAAAGAAGCCTGTCTGCTACAAAAGGCCAGTATGCCTCAATCCTTCACAAAACTGGTTTCTAAACACTATTCCTTAAGTTTAGTGCTTACTAGTAATGCTATTCTTCTTTAGGCTCATTAACTTTAAATTTGTATCACCACCTGCATATCTGAGCTGTATTTTTGTCTTTACATTAGATTTATTTTAGACGCATAATAAAATTAAATAAGGTTAATGACTTTTTGAAATGATGTCAAGCAGTTGCGTTGATACCACGAATGAATGGAAACAGATGGATCCTGAATTATATTTTCAACTTAGCTTAGACATCAGCTCAAATGGAAGCAGGACATATACCCTGGAGTTATGAATACCACACTGTAAGGCTGAAAACACTGGTTGAAGAGAAAATATCTGACCAGTGGTCTATGAAACAAAGGATCTTGTTGGAAATTAACATTTGACTCCCTCCCCCTCTTCCTTTGAGACAAGTCTCACCTCATCTACATTTTCTTTGGGTGAACAAAGGGGTGAACGCAGTAAATGTCCACTGTAAGCTCATGAAATTACGTAATGAAATGCATTATATAGCCAGACAATATATGATATAATAAATTGTTATATTTGATTATTCTAACAGACTTTGACTTTATTTTCATTAGAGTTTAAAGGAATAGTCAAACATGCACGTAGATTTAAGGATGCGCAGATATCATTGGAAAACCTTTTCATTTTTGGAGTCAGATGAAATAACGAGTTAATACATACTGTAGGATAAAATGTATTGCATTTAATTAAAAATCCCTTTGCAATGAGAAAAGACGGAACACGTGTGAGACCTTCACCTCTAATCGAATACCGCCAAAGAGTTGATTTAGACGGCCTTGCACACACCAACAATAAAATTTATAGAATTCAAAATCAATAAGGCATGATATTTGGTATCAGTCATGAGTTATGGATTATGTTTTTTTTATGTATGCAGTCCTTATTTGTGCCTTGTTAAATATGAATTTAACACTTTTTATAGTAGCCTATCATCTGCTGATTTAATGCTCAAAATGAAGTGTAGAGACTGATGAAATAATGTTACATATCTAGTAAAACATTTAGTGACCAATATAATCCACTTCATGTTTGGCAGCAAGTTGCTGTATCAAAGAAAATATGTAAATATGCATATCACTCTGTACAAACAGAATCCACTCAACAGACATCGTCTCAGGCCTGATGTGAACTGCATCTGACTCTGCAGGACTGCGTGAATCAAATTTATCGCTTGGCGAGCTTAATAGCTCTAATCTCACCCTGTAGGAACCATTAATCAGCCTATTTATGACTTTAGTAACTGTAATCATCCCTTATGGCATTGTTCTGTATGTTTGAGCCTGAATCATCTACCGGCATAATTGCTGAAAACCATATGATTTAAAGCAATCTCTATTATTTGATTATATGCTTTCATAAAGCACAGCATACCAGAATATTATCTCGAGAACCAATTAATGTGTGTGTTGAGTGTGCTTTGTAGGTGCAAATTCTCTTTAACCAAGGCTGGATAGATTTATAACCTGTCAGAATGTAAAAAAAAACTATACTGTACATTCAGGCTATTGTCAGCAGAGATGCTATAGTGAAGCAAACATTGACAAGCACTCAAGAGAAGATCAAGTCTGTCCAGCTTCAGATTAACGGTTCAATGAAATGGATGCTCAGCATTGTCGCTAGACCGTCTTTATTAGTACCTGAGGGTAACCAAACAGTTGATGGGCCCCATTGACTTAAAAGACACTAAGATACTATGGAATTCAATGAGTCCCATCAACTGGTTACCATCATTTTTCCAAATATCATCTTTTGTGTTCAGCAGATGAAAGAAATGCATAGGCTACTGGTTTGGAACAACTTGAAGGTGAGTGAATGATGACAAGATTTTCACCCAAAAACTATTCCTGTATTGTTTTGTTCTCCACCTAGTGGCCACAAACCGACAACAAGAACGAAGGAGCTGGAATCCAACATGCAAACAGTCTTTAGGCTAATAGAGCTCACCTTACGTCACAGCTGTGTGGATAGAGACCTGATAGGTTGAGTTGAAAGGGATAGTTCACTTTGAAATACATTTTTGGTATGTTTTAGCTCACCTCAAGGGCATCCAAGATGTAGGTGTCTTTGTTTTCGGAGTAGTTTCAATTTTGATATTTTTAGGTCAAACCGTTCTTGTCTGTCCGTCATATGATGCAGGTCTATGGTCACCACCTCGAGCATGCACAGAAAAGTCCAGATTAAACATGATTTAATGACTCGTAAATGTAAGTATACACATTGATGGCCTAAGACAATAAACGAGCGGTTTGTGTGAGAAACGAACAATCGTTTTTACCTCTTGTAACTATAGTGTCCACGTGATCTGAGGGCACAGGCACTTCGGTCTGCACAAGCGCCGGTAACACAAACCGCTCATTTCATGTCTTAGTGTGTCCTAGTTGTGTACTTACTTTTACGAGTCATTAAATCATGTTTAATTTGGACTTCTCTGTGCATGCTCTTTGAGGTGGTGACCATAGACCTGCATTATGTGACTTTAAATTGACTTAAAGATGTTCTTTAATCTGGTATATTGTAATAGTTTTTATTAAGTATACCATTAAGGATGTTTGTTTAAGAGATTCATTAAGGTTATTTAACTAGGTGCATTTTAGCATTGAATCGTTTGCTGCGATTTCTCACACACCGTAACGGGACGGGATATAACAGCAATGGACGGGGTCATAAAAACAATAGGCCTACTCAAAAAATGTCTTCTATAGACAGTTTTATCAAGTATCAAAACATGAATACACTTTTAGTAGGCTACTTATGATTGTAATAATTATGATTCAATTTCAATTGATTTAGAACCTTTTCAATCTAATTCCAGTTCCTAATTCTGAACGCTCGGTGGCGCTACGTTCATATAAATCACTCTTCTTCACGGGTTGGGCCGGTCTGACCTGTTACAACAGCTCTTTTACAAGGGGGACCATCAGAAAAATACAAATACATTAAGGGATTTTACATTTTAAGTCATAAAATAAAATTGAGAACAAAAGCAGAACTTTTTTACTTCATATAATGTTATCATGACTGAATTCTCAGTAATTCGAGAGATTTCCCTGAAGAGATTATTCTCTCCTTATATGTGGTCTTTGCATGAGCTTGCTTGTTTAGCTATATTAAATTTATTTTACCCCTTCACAAAATATTTAAATAATGCATGTGAGCAAAACATAAGGGGAATATATATATATATATAATTATATATATATATATATATATATATATAGAGAGAGAGAGAGAGAGAGAGAGAGAGAGAGAGAGAGAGAGAGAGAGAGAGAGAGAAATATAGACATAGATGATATAGATAATATATAGATATAGATATATATTAATACTAGGCAGATACTTTACATAATTAGTTATAGGCCTATATTAATTCGTTTTTGGGGTCATGTTTGTTTATTTTTAATAATTATTTATTTATTATTATATTATGTTATATTATATTATATTATATTATATTATATATTTTATTTTAAAATGTTCTAAGATTTAATAAAATTACTAAATCCAAACTACACTTCCCATGAACATGTGAGGCACTTTACGGAAGATCTGACGTCACATGCCGTTACATGTGGATAAGCGATCTGTAGTTTGAGTTTGAATTTCGTATTTCAGTCGGTTTAGCTGTAGTCAGTTAACTCTGCATTTTTTTTAAAAAAAGGTTCTCGATCCTAAGCGCCCACATTTCAGTTATATGGAACGACGCAAGCCGCAATTATTTAGAAAAACCGCTGCAGCCATCTGAACTTGCTAGCCTGATCGCTAACTACTTTAGCAAAGGAAACGAAAGTAAGTTTGTCATAATATTTTTCATGTGTCACTCTGAATAATTATGCTGTTTTTGATAACATATAAACAAATGACAACTTGCCACGACCTGTCATCAATGAAAATTATTCATGTTTTGAGGACACTGTCAAATGTTTTTTTGTTTCTTCAACCTTAAGTGGATATGGGGATCTTTGAAACCAACGCCTTTAGTACAAAAAACGCACTTTACAGTTGGGCTTAGAGTTCCTAATATACTTATAGATACATGTTGGGATTTTTTTGTGAAATTTCTTTTATCCAAAACAAACTACTACTCTTGAACCACAATACATTATTACTCGCATAACTAATAGCCTATACAGTCATTCATTCTGCCTTTTGTCCTTTGTGAAGGCTAAATGTCATGGAGAACTACAGAAAAGCACGCACAGTTGACCAGCCCTGCCCGTGTCCATTCCCCGACCTGCCCAGCAACACTCCCGAAGTTCGAGTGAAGGATGGCAGCAAAATCCGCAACCTGATGAGGTTTGCTTTAAGCCGTATGGAGGAGAAAGCCCCTTTGACAGATCATCCAGACACCTGCGAAGGCTCAGAGGTGAGCGTTGGGTTGGGGGAGAATCTATGCCGCCAAATCGTGTTCACAGGTGTGGGTCAGAGCGTGGCTAAAGCCATCACGTGCGTGGAGATCATGAAACGGCGTGTTCGCTGCCTACACCAGCATACCAAGCTGGCCTACCGCACGGTTCAGGAGGTCTGGGAGCCCCTGGAGCCTGAGGCCGGGTTGGACAGTCTCACGGTCAGCAGAAATGTACCTAGTGTATGGGTTCTGCTCTCCAGAGACCCACTTGATAAGAACCAGCCGGGTTACCAAGCGCCAGGTTCTTTTGATGCCTTTTGGGCTCAGGCTCTCAAAGAGGAAGCGGCAACCCCAAGACATGAACAGAAAAGGAAGAGGGGAGGAACAGGGGCTGGAAGGGCAGACGGGGCGGGCCGAGGAAAGGGTCCACGCAAGCACACGGGCCGACCTGGAGGAGCACGTAAACCTCTAGGTCATGCTGAGGGTGGGCAGGAATGAATGAATTTTGCAGCTTCCTGCCACAGCCTTAGCTTGGTTTAAGTTGCCGGATATTCAGTGCCGTATTTAATAAGCAGATTCTTGAGGATGTCTGTCATGAAATAGATGTTCAGTCCCTGAACAGTTCACCCAAATTAAAAACTGTGATCAAAACATTTTTTGGAACACAAAAGGAGATTTTCTGAAGGGTTTTTATGCTGTTTTTCAGTACAACAATATTCAATCGTGATCACGTTTGTCAATCTCCATAAAGCACCATAGAAGTGGTTTAAATGACTTGTGTGCCATAATCCCAGTCTTCTAAAGCCATGCAAGTTTTCAATTAATACTGACTTTATTTTTAATCTCTTTTGCACAAGGATTCAGAAGACTTGGAATACAACGCACAAGTTTGACTATTTTCATAATGCATTTTGGAGCTTCTCATGTTTGGAAAATGTTTTCTTTTCTTTTTTTTTTAACTACTCCTTTAAATACATTAGACAGAAAGGCCTAAAACTAAATTTCAATTTTGCAAAAAACAATTATTCTGTAGGTTTCTTTAGAGATGATTGTGTTGGCTGTTTTTTTTTTTTCAATTTAAAGAATTGTGTTAGAAATCTATAGATTAATTCAAATTGGCGATCATATATGTTTAAATGCGGAAATGTTTTTTTTATTATTTAGAGGAGGTGTTAGGTTGCTGCTTCAGGAAGCAGTTCAAGCCATATTGAAATAAACAAACACCAATAATTTGATCGTTGTATTATATTATTGCAGATTTGATTAACAGATGAAGTACCAGGCAAAGTTTTTCATGTCAAAAGAATGAAAACAGCCTACGTCATCTTTTGCCACTAACATATCAATTATTTTATGCAAAGGAAAGGAAATTGTGTATTTTGAATACCAAATATATCTGCAGAAAATACACAAATTTGGGCTTAAAGGGCTCTGACCAAACGCCACTGTTTTTTTAATGTCACAGCTCAAAGACTGAAGGCATCTAGATGTTGTATTGGGAGTTGTTTTTTGTATATATTGTAAAGTTCAAATGGAAAACATGATATTGGATCAGATTTGGGGATATTAGCCCAACTTCAGACAAAACTCTAAATGAATTTCATCATGTTTTCCCCTGTTCGCTGGAGTAAATTACAAAGACAGTGAACACTCAAGAGATATAAGTTTAATGTTATGTATTATTGTTTAGGAAATTTCTACTTTGTGAAATTCAGAAAAGAGAAGTGCAAACAGTAGAATTGAAAGTTGTGACGTGTTGATACAAACAATGGTCAGTTCGGTGGCAGATAAAAATGTAACATGAAATGTACTGTTTTGGAACCGAATTATTTTGAGTGAATAAAGTGTGGATTCTTATAAAGTTGTTGGTGAATTTCTACATTTGTTATATGAAACTTGTTGAGCTTAAGACTTCTCTTTCCAGCATCTTATGCAAAACCACATGGGGAGAGGAGAGAACGATTTTTGAATGTCAAATGTTCTTTTACTAAATGAACAGAGAATGCACGGCTCACTCTGTTCAAATTGAAGAAGAGCGCTGATCAAAATATAAGGTAGGATATTTTTTGCATTATTCCACTTAAATATTTCTGAATGTTCTTCTTTCAAAAGTAGTCTAACACTATGACAAAATGTAGACTGCTATTTTTCTTCAGATATGAATCTAACTCAAGGTGATGCAGAATAATTGGATGTCATCAAACAGTTGTTAATTTTATAGAAATACCAACGATTTAAGCACATGACAAATCAGTTTATTTAGATGAATAAAAAGCTTTAATACAGCCTCATAGATTTGAACTGATATCAAATGGTTTTGTTTACGGTATTTAATATGCTTTGTATGACATTTCAAACCTCTATTTAAATATTAGAGTAAATATTAATGTTGTTACCATTAATGATAGTAACCTCCTGGATTTTCATATTCTTTTTGATATCTATAACATGTCAATTTGTCTATTTATTATTTTTATTTTATTGCTTGATCAGTGTAATAATTTCACTGCCACCAGAAAACATGTAATGACAGTCCTAAATGTGCATGTATGTATCTGTGTATGCATATATAATGAATACTTTTATGGTGCAATAAATTGGTCAAAAGTGACAGTAAAAATATTTATAAAGTAGTAACAAAATATTTCTATTTCAAATACATTCTGTTCTCTTGAACTTTCTTTCTGAAATAATGTCACTTTCCACAAAAAAATATTAAGCTGCACAACTTTTTTTAAAAATAAAAATGATTATAAGAAGAAGTGTTTCTTGAGCACCAAATCATATTAGAAGGATTGCTGAAGAATTATGTGACACTGAAGACTTTTTGAAAATTGCCATCACAAGAATCGATTTTATACACTCACCTAAAGGATTATTAGGAACACGACAGCGGAGACGAGAACCCCTGTGCATGTCCAGTAAAGGGAAAAGGGCGTTTTAAACCTTATTTTGGGGCATCAAACTTTTTCAGCGGTTTTTATAAAATTTACTGTTGTTTCTTTCTATACATGTAGTTTTTATGTCCTGGTTACCAGTGAAAGTGCAGTTCTGACTCTGACCATTCATTTAGATAGGAGCCTGGTCTTGTTAGTCTGAAATAGCTGCCTGGAGGCGTTGCCAAGATGGCGGCTGAGTTGCATGACTTGCCTAAAAGGACTGAGCGTGGTATGGTTGTTGGTGCCTGACGGGCCGGTCTGAGTATTTCACAATCTGCTCAGTTACTGGGATTTTCACGCACAACCATTTCTAGCGTTACAAAGAATGGTGTGAAAAGTGAAAAACATTGGAAAAAGCGAAGCGAGCCAAACCGTACTGAGCTGTACCAGCAGTGGAAAAGCACCAGGTGGCAGTCCTGTGGGTGAAAATGCCTTGATGCCAGAGTAGAATGAGCTGACTGATTCAAGCTGATAGAAGAGCAACTTTGACTGAAATAACCACTCGTTACAACCGAGGTATGCAGCAAAGCATTTGTGAAGCCACAAAATGCACAACCTTGAGGCGGATGGGCTATAACAGCAGAAGACCCCACCGGGTACCACTCATCTCCACTACAAATAGGGAAAAAAGGCTACAATTTGCAAAGCTCACCAAAATTGGACAGTTGAAGACTGGAAAAATGTTGCCTGGTCTGATGAGTCTCGATTTCTGTTGAGACATTCAGATGGTAGAGTCCGAATTTGGCGCAAACAGAATGAGAACATGGATCCATCATGCCTTGTTACCACTGTGCAGGCTGCTGGTGGTGGTGTAATTGTGTGGGGGATGTTATGGCACACTATAGGCCCCTTAGTGCCAATTGGGCATTGTTTAAATGCCACGTCCCTGAGCATTGTTTCTGAACATATCCATCCCTTTATGGCCACTAATATGTACCCATCCTCTGATGGCTACTTCCAGCAGGATAATGCACCATGTCACAAAGCTCGAATCATTTCAAATTGGTTTCTTGAACATGACAATGAGTTCACTGTACTAAAATGGCCCCCACAGTCACCAGATCTCAACCCAATAGAGCATCTCTGGGATGTGGTGGAACGGGAGCTTCGTGCCCTGGATGTGCATCCCACAAATCTCCATCAACTGCAAGATGCTATCCTATCAATATGGGCCAATATTTCCAAAGAATGCTTTCAGCACCTTGTTGAATCAATGCCACATAGAATTAAGGCCGTTCTGAAAGCAAAAGCGGGGCAAACACAGTATTAGTATGGTGTTCCTAATAATCCTTTAGGTGAGTGTGTGTGTATATTGATAGGATCATACAAATACTGTATATGTCTGTGTGTTTTAAAAAAGTATAATACAAAGGATATATATTTTTTGTAATAATATCTAACAATATAAAATTTTATCTGCATTTTTACCAAACCCAAGCGTTAAAAAACTGCAAATGAGAGACAAAATATATGGAAAGCAAGTATTTTACATAGTAGTCTTGTTTCAGCACTAGTTTGACTAACTGTGACAAGAGCCTCCAGTGGAAAAATTTTTCTTCTTTTTGAGTGCACGTCAATTTTGTACAGTGAACACACTGGATCAACTGAGTGTTTTTAACATATCTATTAAATAATTAGTCATTTACTCTTTCTTTATTTGGCAGTTCAGCACACAGCAGTGGCTTACCATCTGAAGCCAACTTCACGAGTCACTCAACGAGGAGCTGCAAAGGCAGAATACGCAGTCATGTTGACTGTTCTGTTCACCATTTTAATGTTTGGTCAAGGTAAGTTACTATCTAATGGGATTCCTAGGGATGCACTAATACAATAAGATAACTCCAGAAGAGAATATTTTTTAAATCAAATTGTCCTGTACAAATATTACAATTGTTCATGTTTTTTTTTTAAAAAAAACAGTCAAATCTTTGACATTTCCAAAGTATTTCAATTTTTTCAAATCAAGTCGTCATTTCAGTGCTCCCAGAGACATGATAATGATGATATTGATACTAAGTATTTACCCTCCATTATCAACAGAGTAATATTGGTGCTTCAGTAGTGATTACCATTGGCTGAAAATAAATTGGATTAAATGGCAAAACAAACTGATTCATGATTGGACTGTTGAACTTTCACAGGGCTTTCAATGGACAGTCGTGGGACTAGTTTCATCACTGCATTCCCTGAGAATATTGCTGTTTTTTATAAAAAGACTACTAACCTACTGAAAATCACCACCCTCCACCCAAACACTACAGTCAATATCACCTATATGGCGACTGGCAGCATCAACACCACTAGATACATCAAAAATGGGACCATTCTGACAGTGACTTTAAAAAAGGACGCTGAAGAATACCATTTTGATTCTTCCAATAAGTCTGTTCAAATCACTAGTGATAAAAACATCACAGTTCTTTCTGTGAGTGGATGGCAGGAGAGATTCCAGTCTCGTGTTGTCCAGCCTGAACAACATCTCGGAACGGTATATCAGGTCCCTGCTCTGAATTACACCAAGATAGCCGCGTCCTTAAGTCTTTTAACGACGTCTGCGGTCAAATTTCTCCCTTTCAGGCTGATGATTATCAATGCAGTAGACAGAAACAACAGTGTCACCATCAAACAGGTTGACGAAAGAGGTCAGAGCCAGGCAGATACAATAACACTTGGTCCTTACAATCTTTTCCAGATTGAAATTAATGAGACAGTGAGAGAAATAAATTCAACGGCCAAAGTGGCCGTGCTCCTGACCCATCCGTGTTTTGAAACGGTAAGCTGCTCATGCAACATGGTGGTGAACCAGCTCAAACCCTCAGCGTTTGACAAGATTCCAGACACATTCCTCGTGCCCTCTATCTTCAGTGCCAAACAGCTACTTCTGACTACAAATCAATCCTGCAGTGTCTGTCAGGGTCTTACTAGTAATTGTATTTTGGTGCAAAATTCTACAATCTTGCCGTTATACTGGAATTTTATTTCCACCACTGTGCATGTTTCCCTCCATTTGATCAGTCCTGGACTCATTCTAGACCTCATTCCGACAAGCATGTTCTCTGGCTGCTATCTGTTAGGTTTTAATTCTTTACGCAGTGGGGCTTTGGTGATTGCTAATACATCCAGCACTGTTGGTGTGCGATTAAATGATCAGCCTTTGCCTTCAACCATCACATGGAGCGTTATTAATGGCACAGAGTACTCTTGGGCTCTGGTGGAGGCGCAAGAGATAGGCACTATCTGGCATCCTACCTCAAAGATTGGTGTATATATGATAGAACGCTTGGAGTCCGACAGTATCTATGGGAGCCCAGCGATTGCTATTAATATGAACCCAGGTAAGTCTGTGTTTGTATTCTACACATGTTTACTAAGACTGTCATTTTGAATGAATTAACTTATTTTATATAGATGTACTTGAACATTTAACCCACACATACTGAAATTTTCATGCGACTGTGTCTTTTTAGTCAGGTTAATCGGTTAGCAGCATGCTATGCTAACTGGTTAGCACTTTGAAAACGGTTCAATTCCAACTGAAAACCAAATATTTTTTTGTGTGTGTTTAGATGGTAATGGTTGTCTTGTGACTCCGGAGACATTTTTACTTGGTCAAGATGAAATGAGCTGGTTCATGTCCCGTCAGTACTGCTTGGAAAACGCTGATCAGCTTGCCAGGGTCGTCGCTAACACCTCAGTGAGTAGGATGGCTTTTAACACGACACTCCAAGAATCCAAAGAGGGCTGGATCGGTCTGCGGCGCAACCTGTACACAACAGAGTGGTACTGGAAAAACGAGGACGATTTTCCATCCACTGTGAAATTCACTTACTGGGAGAGAGGACATCCTGAAAATCCTGAGAAAGGCTTGTGTGCCTCAATTTCCTTGGATCCCAGCAAGAAGTTCAAGTGGAAGAGCGCAGGCTGCTGTACTAAAAAGAAACCTGTTTGCTATCTATCCATAAAATATTTCACTTACCGTGATACTGTAACACCATAAACAACTTGTGTCTCAATTACAATACTTATATCAACTCCAAATATATTTTTAGCTTTCAGGACTGTATGAAGAGTTCAGATGCAAAAGCCTCTAAATGCCATTTGAAATGTTCTTCTTTAATGATGATTTTGATCAAACTTGTATATTTAAGTTCAGTAATTTCACTTAAATAACAATTAATAGGTAATTATCATTGCCATTTAAGTGAAATCACTGAACTTAAATATACAAGCTTGAAAAAAATGATCACTCTAGAAGAAAATTTCAAATGGCACTCTTCGTATGATTATGGGTCAATAGAGAAAATAGTATAATTTTCATGCTCAACATACATCTGTCTAGACTATATAATTATACCCCTATATTAAACTAAATATAGGCCTATATGTTATCTGGTGGGCAATGACATTATATAATTAGAGACAGCCTACTGTTTTGAGGTGTATTCAGGTTAAGCTTTAAAAGAGTGAAATTAATTAATCTTATTAATGTAATTAATGTCCTTAGAGTTTTTGTAGAGTTCTGTAGAACTTTTTTTTTTAAATACAAAATAATGTCATAGGCTATATTGGATATTCATTTTAAGTCATTGATTGTAATCTTTAAAGGTAAAACATAATATTCTACTGTAACATGTCATGTAATTCTTAAAACTGTTTGTTTGTCTTAAATCTTTTTTAAGTCATCTTTACAAACCTTCTAAGGAGGTGTCATATATAGACCATTTTGCTGGATTAAATCAATTTTTGATGGATAAAATAAATACGGATATGGATACGGATAAAAAGTCCCAGTCTGTTGGTTTTTATTTGGATTCGTGAGAAAAAAATCGTAGGGAAAAAACTATGAATGAATGCCGTTTAATGTTGACTTGAAAGTGTCGAGAAGTATATATTTTTATGTATTGCTACAGCATATCGCAGTGTTAGACAAAAAAAAATTATGTAAAATCTTTTTCAACTCAGTTTAATTTTCAAAATGTTTATTTGACACTTATTTAACAGATAAAATGTATAGATTTGATCAGTTAGTATTATGTAAGTCACTTGATTAGATTTTCCAGACAGGTCAGACAAAGACGGAAGTCAGAGTCATATCGCTCACCTCAAAACAGGAAGTTTTATTTTAAGACTGTGTATTTTTTAACACACACTGGACAAGAAACAGCTTTTAAGACCAGAGTGTTTTGATTATTTAGCATGACATTTGTGTCTTTTCAATGGTCCACGCTGCTGTTAAACCTCCTCTTGATCACCCAAGCTCCCACACCCAGAGCCAATAGCAGCTTGGTCCCCAACGCCAGAGCAAGAAGCAACACAAGCAGAGAGAAGGAGCTCTTTGCGGTTGACCTCTCTGGGCTGAGGGGCAGAACATAGAGAGTGGCTTGATCCTTCCCCAAAGAGTTTGAAGCCGCACAGATGTACTGTCCTCCAGGTTTGACGTCCAGTAGTTGGCTTGATGTGCGGTATTGCCCGGTAGCCTCTTGAGAAAGCAAGAATGACGTATCTCCCTCTACACCATCTGGTGCGATCCACTGAACATCTGGAAGAGGGGAACCCTGAACGCGACACACGGCTTTGAAGCCAGACGTTTCAGTCCCCTCCGCTGACAAACTCAGGATTCGCGGTGCAGCTGGTAATGAGCAATATAAACAAAGCCTGTCAGAATTTAAGATTTGACTTCCTTTTAATGCATGAATCCGAATTTGAATTGTATTGGCCAATCTGAATTCTGGATTCATCATCCTGAAGTCAATTCATAGATGCCACCTACGTCACTACAAATAGAACGCCGCCATATTTACGAACATATTCCGTTTTTTTAATTAGTTTATTTTATTTCCATTTCTCTTTATATAGCTATAGCTATATTACACTCTCAGAAAAAAGGTACAAAAGCTGTCACTGTGCCGGTACCTTTTCAAAAGTTTCACCTTTGCACCTAAAGTGTGCATTTTAGTCCCTAAAAGGTACATATTGCTACCAAAAGTGTACATATTAGCATATTAGAACCCTTTTGTACTGTCCAAGTGAGCGGTTTTGTACCTTTTTTCCTAAGAGTAGGTTATAATTGGTTGGGGTCAAAACTATGCTTGTTTGAACAGAAATGTTGTTCCAGCATTGATTCAGGAAGCAATGGTCAACACTGACATTCTGTTCAGCATAAAGGTGCAATTATATCCTTTCCCATTTCAAAGCATGTCGAGACAAGTCAAATGTTATTTTTCTTACCCTCCACTCGTAGACGGGTCCCCAGCTTGTTTTCAAAGCTTGTATGAGGGTGCGCCGCTAACTCTACACGACAGTAGTAGCGGTCACTATCCTTCAAGGTCACGCTGTTGATCCTGAGTGAGATGTCATGGTTTCGGTGGTTGCCCTCCAGACGGTAGCGGTTGTCCTGGTTGATCTTGGATTGGCACTGCTGGCTGTTGTTCAGGCTCGTGCAGCGGAACAGAACTGTGGCAGCCCGTCCGTGGCCCAGGGTCCACACCACGTGCATGGAGGAGGGATGGGTGTGGTGCGGGTGGGTGAAAGAGCAGGGCAGCACTACCGGGTACCCCTCGATCGCCCGCACCTCAGTTGGTGCTTTCATCAACCAGCCGTCATCGTCTTTGGCTATAGCTAGAAAGAGTTGTTTATAAAACTTGAGAAGTTCAAAGCAAGTAATTCTATTCTAATTCTATTCTCACCTGCACTATGAAGGACCACCAGCAGACCGAGAGTTTTACTGAACCGTTGCACCTCCATCGCAGACATTAATGATTCATTATGAAAAAGAAAAAATCTACTTGCAACATGTTCCTATTTCTGACTCATCATCACACATTACTGACTCCATGACATTAATCATTTCATTCTTTTTATCTATCTATCTATCTATCTATCTATCTATCTATCTATCTATCTATCTATCTATCTATCTATCTATCTATCTATCTATCTATCTATCTATCTATCTATCTATCCATCTCTCTCTCTCTCTCTCTCTCTAACGTATGATGCTATTTATTGGAAATGTGGAAAAAAAACTACCTGCACTTACCAGTTCACTTAAAAAAAGTTATTTGGGAAATGTAAGTAGACAGTTCCTTGTTTTAGTCAGTTCTTACCTTCATGTTTAGTCAGCATGCCTTCATTTTTAAAGTGTCTCTCTGTGAGATATAAGAATGTTTGCTCTAAAGAGGCGCGATTTTGTGTTTGGTTTCCTTTCTTTTATTTGTAGTCTTAAAGGTATTTTTTATTTATTTATACTTCTCTGGTCTAGCAGTCTAATATTTACATTTTGATAAGAAATAATTCAAATTAAGGCAATTAATATAAACTGGATATACAACAGATTTAGATTTTCTCAAGCATCTGAAGTTATTATATTGTATATTGTTCTGTTTTTATCCGCAGGCCTAACATGTTCACAATGGATGCCAGTACCACCTCAGGTCAACGGCTCTTTGGGAAAGAATGTGATTCTCCCCTGCGTCTTCACACATCCAAAACAAAATAATTACAAAGGCGTCATCAATGTCAAATGGATGAAGAGCGGAGAACTCATCTTTCACTGCAATCTCCACAACACGACAAATAGCCAAGACGACGTTAACTGCACTGATCTAAGATCATCAGAGAGGCTCTCGCTTAACGGTTACCCCAAGAAAGGAGACATTTCCTTGCGTATCAGTAATTTAAAGTTTACTGATGCCACAAGGTACTTCTGTAGGGTGGAGCTGGATTATGAAAAATGTTCTTCGAAGGACATGGAGCTTAATATCAATGGTGAGTTTTACACATTTATACAGAGCTATATACAATATATCTAAGTATTTGGACAGCTTTGGACACTTAAGTCACACTTTTCTCAGTATTTTCACTACTCACTGGTGTAGTTCATTTAAAATTTAACAGTTTAACAACCATTCAATGTAAAATATTTCTAATGTCCCAACTCAAATTTTCTAGTGACTGGTCACATCTAAATTTTTCAGTTGGCCCAAGAGAAATTTGCAGAATTTCACTTGGGCCAATTGAAAATGTATGATTTGACCAGTCACTAGAAAATTGAGTGATTTTTTAAAGTGTTGTATTCATTTTAAACAACCATTGTACTGATTTTTTTTTTTTTAAATGGCAACACTTCATTTTAAAGTGACGTACGTTGCTCACCCCCATGTCATCCAAAATGTCCATGTCTTTCTTTCTTTAGTCGAAAAGAAATTCCAGGATTTTTCTCCATGTAATGCACTTTACAGGGAACCAAATGATTCAAGGTCCAAAAAGACAGTTTCAGTGCAAACTGGAAACTTTTCAAAGGGCTTTAAACGATTCCAGACGATGAATAAAGGGTCTTATCAAGCAAAACGATTGCTCATTAAAAAAAAACAAAGTTTAAGTATTATAAGCTCAAATGGTCACCTTGCTTTGTTCTGTGATGCGCGTTCGTGACTCTCCTGATCAAATTCGTTCATCAAAATTAATGAATCTTTTCCCGAGTCAGTTCGTTCATTTTGTATGTTAAATGAACCAAATTAAACAAAAAGATTTTTTAATTTTGACAAACGATTTCGAACAGGAGTCACGAACGTGCATCACAGAACAGAAAATTTTTTTTTTAATGAGCGATCGTTTCATTTGATGAGACCCTTATTCGTCGTCTGGAATCGTTTAAAGCCCTTTGAACAGTTTGCTCTGAAACTTCTTTTGGACCTTGGACCGTTTGGTTCCCATTAAAGTCCATTATATGGAGAAAAATCCTGGAATGTTTTCATCAAAAACCTTAATTTCTTTTCGACTGAAGAAAGAAAGACATGGACATCTTGGATGACATGGGGGAGAGTTTATTATCAGCAAAAGTTTTTTCAGTACTTATATGTCTAATTAACTATGTTCTGTTTCGAAATACATACAAACATATAATGTTTATATTATTCCTGGGACCACTATACATGTTCAATTACTGATATCTTTTTTGATGGTCAACTGTATAGCTCCAGCACAAATCCTCAGCCTGTCCCTGGATTTAGATGCCAAAGCTAACAGTATGATGCTAAAATGCATTGCTCGCGGGAATCCGGTTCCAGAAGTGAAATGGACCTCCTCATCTGGACTGCTGGAAAATGGTCTAATTAAAACAGACCACAGCAACTACATGGTCATCAGCTCAGTTCCATTCTCTGACCAGAACATGTACAATTGCCAAGCTGTGAACTCACTGGGCCGAGATCAGAGAACATTTCCACCAGATTATCCAAACTGTTTTGGTCTTTTGGTAGCGACTTGTTTTCTGGGATGTTTGCTGTTGCTTGGGCTTGTGGCGTTTTTTATAGATGTGATAAAAAGAAGTAAGTATGACCTTTTTCTAAATACTGTTTGTGGATTTTTGTTTTTATTTTTAAAATAGTTTGTGCAAATTCTGATGTACTGTCTGTGTTATTATTTCCCCCCAAAAAAGAACGAAGTGTGCAGGGAGTCATGCTACAGTAAGAATTAATGTTATTCAATTAAACTGGCCTCTGAAATAAGGAATCTTTTGTGCAATGTATTTTAATGTGTGATCATTGTTTCATTTTCAGGCAAATAGATGTACAAAGGGATCAAACTTCTATATATCAAGCTAATGAGACAGTATATGCCAATGTCAGCACTTATCCAGTTGGTGAGTATGAAACTATTAATAAAACCAACTTAATTGTCTTAATATTAATATGTGTATCGTTACTATGTGAGACACTATGGACAATTAAATATGTTTCATTTTATTTTATTTTTTGGGGGGTGACCTAACCCTTTAATAGGCTATTGTACATTTATTGTGTATATTTAAGGGTTATATCACCCAAAATCATTCATTCTTTGAAACATTTCATTCATCTTTGAAACATAAAGATTTTTTTTGATGAAATCTGAGAGATTTCAGTCCCTCCATTGAGTCTACACAAATACCACTTTGATGCTTCAAAAAGTTGATAAAGAAATCGTAAAATAAATACATGAATTGAGCAAATTGGTCCACATTTTCTGAAGAGACAGGATTGCTTTATGATGAACAGATTTATTTTAGGATTTTATTCACATCTCCCAGACTTCATTAAAAATATCTTCGTTCGTGTTTCCAAGATGAACGAAAGTCTCACAAATTTGGAATGACATAAGGGTGAGAACATGATGACAGAATTTTTAGGTGAACTAACCCTTTAATCTTTATAGGTTGTGAAACTAGACAAGATGACGTGTACACAAAAGGGATGTCACTAGAGGGAGGAAAGGTGGATCTGATTCCTGGACCCCAGAACCACAAAAATCCAAACCGACCCTGCCCCCGAGGTAACCCACCCCGCCCCCGAGGTCCCCCCCCTCAACCACACACCCCACTTCCTCCTTAACCCCCAAAAGGCACCAGAGAAAAGCGAGAGGTAAGGACTATTTATAGGTAAAGCATTGTCCCAATCGTGTTCAGTTAAATTGACCTTTATGAAGGCCCCATATATATTTTCACAGATTTTACCAACTTTTTGTCAACAGACCTCAAAGAGAAATAAAACCAATGTTGAAAGAAGATATCGAGTGTATCTAAACACAGCAACAAACAACACAAAATCTGGCCTTTAAATGGTCTATGTGAATAAAGCTGCAGTGTAAAGTTAGACATTTGTCTTGTTTTTACTTTTTTTGTTTGTGTGATGCAACAGTTCAATACAGGTTTTATTGCAGCATGTGAGCTAAACCTAACAAAAATTAGGTTACTACTAAAAAAGAAACTACCAAATAACCACAGTTTGAAGGGAAAGTCCCCATAAGAATGTAGTCTATACACATATCCGCCTGTGAGTTTGTGTTCAGTGCTTTGTGAAGGGGTAAGTGACATAACTAGACTAATTTTTTTGACACCCCCTTTGCTTGTGGTATAAAATTCTCATATAGCCTATTCAGGAGAACACTAAACACTAAACATGGCCACACACATTCTTAAACACTAGATATGGTATAATATACTGTTGCTGATTTGGTCCCTCCTCTTCTGATGTTACAATTATAGAAATAGACGTTGTGGGTAGAATGGTCAATCCCTTTACTGAAAAAAAAATAAAATGGGCGTGGCTTAGTGATCCAGAAGTTGTCTTTTATTCAGGTACTAAGGTGAGTAATATATATGTTTTTATTTGAACTCTTTACGTGTATATTCAATTCACTCTCTATGTGTAAATTATTAACCAGAATTCGCCGCTATGCGCCACGTTAACGGTGTTATCATGTGGTTTCTGTTACTTTTCAAGGCGCTGATCAATCTAGACCAATCACAGTCGTTATTGATTACGCTATGAAAATAATAAATTAATAAAAATCCCGTCCTAAATATTTGTATGGTTTGTTTTGCTTCGTTGGTCATATATAAGTTATTATAATTCATATATTTAAAAATGTTATGTTTTTGAGTTTAAACGCTTCCAAGAAGAGAGTTTTGAATGCAGCACAGTGGAAGCTTCAGCTTTTGGGCCTTCACGCGCCCTCTCGTGGACGAAGATAGATAACCATGGAAATCGCAAGAAGCAACTACTCCAAGAGTATTTATCACCAACGTCTGTGGTCACACCCTGTTAAAGTTTACACACAGTTCTCCTGTCTCAGCCATTGGTCACATGTGAGCAGCTGTTTGTAAAGTTAATCTTGTTTTATTTGTAAAGTTGCTCATTCATTAGATAAACATATCAGAATGCCTCACACTGTCATTACTACAACCAGCACGACAACATCCACCGCGGATGGAGGATTTTGCAACATTGCTTATGTCCGTTCATTTCAAGGATTACTGAAAATCGGCCAAGTGGTAAGAGAAAGTTATACATCACGTTTATTTTACACATTTATTTGATGAAGTGAACGTAGGCATAGAATCCTAAATTTAAGGAAGATAGATGGTTAACATGGTAACGGAAACTGACTGTGTTAGCTACACCGCCACTGCCTGTGCTTCATTGACCGTCCGATTAACGGAACTAGTTCCCATGAACACTTTTTGCTTATGTACAACCCATTCAAGAGACAGTAATCAATGTTTTTATTTACAGTAGCTAATTTATTTAAATATCACTGCAAACTAGTATTCCACAAGTTAAATCTAAACCTGATTTTCACTAACAAAAGTGCTAAAACGGATTAACCGTGGTATTATGTTTATTGTTTTGTTACTCGTATCATGTTAATAATGTATTTTTATGGACTGTACTGTGTTATTTTTTTTATAGAAAAAAAAAATCCAACTTGTAACATGGACTTATTTGAAAATGATATTAAACACCATGTTAGGATAATCATTCAAAACTATTATGCAAATCGAAGTATGGCAAATTGCCATGTGACACTGTCACTGTTAGTACTGCAACATGTGGGACCTATCTAAAACCCATCTAAACCAAAGATCTTATATTTATCATTCTTTTTAAAGGAATTTGAGATACCACTATTCACACACATATATACAGGAAAAAATCCCAAAAGTTATCTAAATTACTACTTGCAGTTATGTTTTGTGGTCAGAGTTTGGTTTAGTGTTGTTTTAGAGAGAGAGAGAGAGAGAGAGAGAGAGAGAGTTTAGAAAGTGATGACAGGCAGTGATAATTTCTAGAGACTCACACACACACTGTCACACACACTGGATGCTCAGGAACAGCCGGCCCCTAAAATGGTTGCGTTGATGATTGAGATTGAGAGAGATTAGCACTGCAACCTGCGACCACAAAAAATAAAACCAGACCAGATTTCCAAAGAAATCCTTTCAACAGGAAACAACAGTGTTTAGAGAAAAATAAACTTTTTTAGTGTTTGCATAAATTATTCAACTTTCTATGCAAGAAGTCGGAATACATCATATTTTGACTTAAACTGTAATATACAAATATGATTGCAAACCTGTGTTGTATTGTAATTTTTTTTAATTAAATTACTTTTACTCTTCATTTTTCTGTAGTTACATGTTCTGTAATAAATAGAACAATTCTATATAAAACAATTGTCGATTAAACATGTTAAATGTTAAAATGTGTGTGTTTATGATGTAACCTTCTCTGTTTAAATACTTTGGCCAGTTCAAGAATAACTTATGCAATTTTATATGATTTATTTGAAAGAAGTTTCAAGTCTATCCTTGAATTGTTAGTAATTAGTAATAAGTAATACCTTTACGGAGAGTAAATATGTAATCTAATTACACTGTTGAAGATGTAATTAGCCTAATTACTTTTTAGAATAACTTACCCAACACTGTGCATAACTAAAATCTAGTAATATAAATGTTGTTTTGGATGTTTTTTTTTTGTTTTTGTTTTTTTTCAAATAATATGCATATATTTTTATTGTTCTAATAAGTAAGGGATTTATTATTGTGTTAAAACGCAGGAATAGGACAATAATTCATAATATATATATATATATATATTACATTTAGGAACTATAAAATTAAAAAATTATAATAAAAAATCAGACAGTTAAACTTAAAATATAAGACACTTAAATATACAAATAATTTATATTGGTTCTAATGCTGATAAAGAAAATCAGTAACTTCAATAATGAAGTTATAAAATAAAAACTTATGAAACCTTTTGTTAGTTAGCAAAAGCATTGCTACCTGTGAAAGATAAGGGATTTTTATATTAAATTGTGTATGTCTGATTTGGTTTCGATCAGGTGGTCCTCCTGATTGCTTTCCTTTGTGTGCACTGTGCACACCTCGCAGACTCTGCCTATCGCTATTTTGAGGTGGTCACTGCATGGTTTCTCGTCGTCTTCTTCTTCTTCTTCCTCATGTATTTGTTTCGACTCCAAAGCAAAATCACATGCATCAACTGGACATTGACGGCAAGTCGGCACAGTTCACATCTCACTTACGTATCTGCGAACTGAAGTTCATGGCATTAGGTGCCGTTTATATGCTACTCTAACGAACTCTTTTTTTTTTGCTTTCACAGGAGTTTTTACATTATGCTGTAGGAGGAATCCTGGTCTTTATCGCCTCTATAGTTGTAGCTGTGAATAGTTATGGGATCTCATCTTTAGTCGCTGGATCTGTGAGTAATTGTAGTATCTACAGTACATGCAGCTGATTGGCCAAGGAAATGCTCAAAGACTTCTTGTGTAGGGAAGAGGAAGCAGGAAATGCGAATCTGCAATGTTGCATCATGTCCTGTTACCGCCTGGGCAGTGCATGTGCAGTTCTCATCAAGCTCTTTTAGGCATCAAAAACTAATTTTATGTTTGGTAATTCAAAATTGTAAAATAATGTGCCTCGATTATGCTTTTTTATATTACATTTTGGCCCTGTTTACTCCTGGTATTAAGATCGTTTCTGGTCGCTCAGACCACAAGTGGACAACACTATAATTTATATCTCAGCACTTAATAAAAGTATGATGCAACTCGAGCAGATCTTCATTTAATGCCACAATCGACACTTTTTATTACATTTTCATTTTCATTTTATTACTCGATTTAGTTTAACTGGGCTATTGCAGACTGGGCCATCTGACCAATCAGAGCAGAGTAGGCTTCGAGAAAGGAGGGTTGACTTTAGAGAGACTGGATCCTTTATTGAAACGTTTCAGACATGTGAGAAAAAAGGTGTTTTTGACCTTGAGTGAATCTATTGTAGGAGAGCTGCAAACAAAACTAGGAACCTTTAAAATATCATAATAGGTGCATTATACTATGTTACTAATCCCTGTTTTTACATAAACACAGGTGTTTGGCTTTATGGCTACTTTTCTTATTGCAATCAGCATATGGACTTCGTATAAGGTCACATGTGGCTCTCAACCAACTGGTGAGTCCTACCCCATTTTAATAATATAATTTGTGAAATATGTATATTGCATAATCTCCTGCTAATACTCTCTTGAAGGTGCCGCGGTGTAACCGGGAGGAAGAAATCGAAGGAACTGGAAAGCAGGTCAAATTCTCACTTTGTTCTAAATGGATAATGCTTTGAGGACCTGGAAGGGACATTTTTAAAGGTTTTGGAAGATGCTGTGTGCTTCAAGAGTAGATTTCTTCATCAAAATTTCAGTGCCTCAATAAACTTAACTGTCTCTTTTATTTTGGCATGTGCAGCAGCAGCTGGGATGAACTTTTTCACCAGTAGGAATGGATTATTTTAAGAGTGAAGTTTTATATTTATCAACGATGTCTGTAAAAAATGTTTACATTATTTATTTGACAGTATTTCATGTGATGCAGGTTTGATTCAGTGGCTGCGATCAAAGAATATTTAGGCTGAAGTGAGGTGTTCATAAAGGATGGATGCTGGCCCACTGTTTTATTATTATTATCACAAGAGTTAAAGTGTATTTTTTACTTTTCACAGTATCTCATGATATTATTATATGCAACACAACTGTAAAGTTTGAAGAATGTATTTCTGGCTTTCTAAATGCGAGTCCCTTTGTTTTGTCCACTGTGTGATAAAAGGTAAAAAGTATTCTAGTGTTATGTGTTGCTTCCTCTCTGATTCAAAACCAGAATTTGATGCTCAAAACAGGTTGTAATACAATAGAATTTAAATTTGTTGCATGGTAATAACACTCATGAACAGCCAATATTAAGGTATTAAAAAAAAAAATTCCATTGTGACATTTTTATAACAAGCAAATCTCCCCAATTCTCATTAACATGAATTGCAAAGTGTATACAAAATAATGTCACAATGGTAATTCATTTTTTTTCTTTTTTACTTTTTTTT